AATATTTGACTTGTGCAAGTTTGCCAATAGATGAATATACGGTTATGCAAGGGAATATTTTCTGTAATTATATATGTATACACACACACTCACACACATACATATTTGTAGAAAAATAAATAAGTGTGCAATGTTGTTGTTATTGTTATTGTTATGTGCCATAGAATGGTCTGCAACTCATCGCAACCCTATGCACAACAACCCTAAACCTTGCTCTATCTTGTGCCAAACTTACTGTCTGATCCATCTACCCCCATTAATCTATTTCCTGCATCAATCCATCTCATGCGTGTCCCTCCACCCTCCCAAGTATGACATCCCTCTCCAAGGATTGGTCCCTCCTTGCAACGTATCCAATGTATGTCAGACGAAGCTTCAGAATTCTTGCCTCCAAGGAGCAGCCAGATTTCATCCTTTCTGGGTTAAACCTGTTTTGTTTTCCTCTTAGCAGTCCATGTTATTGTTGATTGCCTTTAAGTCAAGCACGACTCATAGCAACCCTACGAACAAAAGGCCTGAAAGCTCCTCTACAACTATGGATATTTATCAAAGTTCATAGAGTTTCCGGAGGCGTGTAGCTTAGGAAGTGGATGCCTCTCCTGCTTCTAAGCCTGTCATGGTATGTTATTGTTATATGCTGTTGAGTCATCTGCTATGCATAGTGACACTTTGTATAGTAGCTCTGAACTCTTCCCTGTCCTGAGCCAGTCTCACTAATTCTGACACACAAAAACCTATTGCTCCAGTCACTGTATCAATTTATTCTTCTGTCATCCTTAGCCATCATCCAACTCTCTGAAACATAACAAGTAATTGAGAAGAGCATGGCCTGGATCAGATGCACCTTTGTATCTAGACTGACATCATTGCTCTTTAGCATCCTGGAGGTCCATGCTAGCAGATTTTCCCAATGCAATTTGTCTTTGATTTTCTTACTGCTGGTGTTAAGAGTGTTGATTGTAAATCTGAGCAGCTGAAATTGCTAATAACCTCAATCTGTTCTCCATCTATCATCGTGCTGCCAATTGGCCCAGTGGTGAGAATCTTTGTTTTCTTGATGTTGAGCTTCAATCCATATTGAAGACTACAGTCCTTTTCCTTTTGCAGTAAGTGCTTCAGGTCTTCTTCAGCTTCAGCAAGCAAGGTTGTGTCATATGCATGTCATAGGTTGTTATTGAATCTTCCTCCAATCTTGGTGCCACACTCCTCCTTGTAAAGCCCTGCCCCCTAAATGATCTCTTCTGCATACAGGTTAAAAAGGTATGAGGACAGGATGCATCCCTGACACACTCCTTTCCTGACTTTGAACCAAGCAGTGTTTCCTTGTTCTGTTCTGAGGACTGCTTCTTGATTCAAATATAGCTTTCGTATAAGCACGATGAAGTGTTCTGAGATTCACATACTGGATACTCTTCTCTAACACCATACCTCAAAAGCACTAATTCTCCTTCTATCATCTCTAGTAATTTTGCAGTTAACTGATGTATAGCAAGTGGTTGAAAAGACCACAGCCTGTATCAGTCGCACCTTAGTCTCCAGACTGATATTGCTGCTCTTCAGTACTTTAGAGAGGTCTCTGACAGCTGACTTTGCCAATGCAATTAATCTTTTAATTTCCTGGATGCTGGTGCCAAGAGTGTTGATTGTGAAGCCAAGCAAACTGAAGCTGTTAACAACCTTAATCTCTTCACTGTCTATTATGATGTTGCCAATCAGCTCCCTGGTGAGTATCTTTGTTTTCTTGATATTGAGCTTCAGTCCTTATTGGAGGCTGCAGTCCTTGACTTTCTGCAGCAAGCACTTCACATCCTCCTCAATTTCAACAAACAAAGTTGTATCGTCTGCATAACACAGATTGTTGATAAGTTTTCCATCCATCCTGATGCCACATTTCTCCTCATAGAGCCCAGCCTCCCGGGGATAATCTGTTCTGCATATAGATTGAAAAGGTATAGAGATAGGACACATTTGTGGTGCACATCCTTTCCAATTTTGAACCATGCAGTGTTTCCTTGCTCTGTTCTAATGACTGCCTCCTAATCCAAGTATAGGTTTCACATTAGCACGATCAAGTGTTCTAAGATTCCCATTCTTCTCAGAGTCAGCCACAGTTTGTTGTGTTGCAGAGTCAATTGCCTTTGCATAGTCAGTGACACACAGATTGACATTCTTCTGGTAGTCCTTGCTTTCAGCAAACCTCCATCTGACTGACATTAGCTAAAATATCCCTAGTACCACAGCCTCTTCTAACCCAGCCTGCACTTCTCTGTTGGTGCTGCTCCAGTCGCTTTCAGGTAATCTTTAGCAAAATCTTGCTTGCTTGTGATACTAATGATATTGTTTGATAATTTCCAGTCTGTAGGATCACCTTTCTTTAGAATGGGAACAATTATAGATCTCTTCCAGTCAGTTGGCCAGAAGGCAAAGCAAGGAGCAGGAGGTGAAGACTCAGCTTCTCCCCATAAAAAAGGTATACACACGTATCCCAGAAACCTATGGATTAATGTAGACCCTGAAATTCTTTAGGAAACAAGGCCAGGCAGAACATGGTGAGGAATGGAAGAGGCTGTATAGGAGGCAAAGTGAAGAGCAGGGGGCAGGGACTCAGCTTCATCCCCCCCACCCCAACCAAAAAAAAAAAAAACCCCAAAAACCAAACACAAAAAAAACACCAAAAACAACAACAGGTACACTTGTTTCTGCCAGAATCCCATCAAGACAGAGCCGCAATTCTTTGGGGCCCAAGGGCCTATGACCCTCAGGCCAAGAAAACAACACTATACACTAGATGTACAGGACACATCACCCTTCTTGGAAAACTATTTCATTGTGACTACAGTGTGCTGCAAATGGAAGAGAAGAGGCTCTCTGCCACAAGAAGTACCGGAGCAGAAATACTAAGGAAAGGACTTTCCCTCAGAACTGTCTGAGATAGGAAGCTTTTCCTAACATTTGTACCTGTGTGTAATATACTGTGTGTAGATATATTATACATATGTACATGTGACATACATACACATAAATATATCATTATATATAATTTTCATTATATATTGGGTCAGCTATGGGTCAGTTCTGATCCTATGGTAGTTAACAACATTAACATATACCTATATGAACATAAATTCACTTTATTGACATATATTTGTGACAAACTTGTAGTAATAGGCCATCAGGATTTTGGAGGCTGTAAATTGCAAAAGAAGTTATTACCCTTCTTTGCCCTGTTGAGCTGCTGGTGGATGAGAAATACCAGAGGAATGCCACTTTTGGGTTAAAAGGACAAAGCCCTATAAGCTAGATTACTTTTATCTATCTATCTATCTATCTATCTATCTATCTATCTATCTATCTATCTACATATGCATATACATATACATATACATACATATACATATGCATACACAGATAGATACATATATAGATACATAGATAGATAGATTTTTCTTGATTGCCGTTGAGTCAAGCACAACTCATAGAGACCCTATGAACAAAAGGCCTTAAGCCTTTCTATAACTCTCATCAATTATGAAAGTTTGTAGAGTTTCCAGATGCATGTTATTTAGGAAGTCGATGCCACTCTTGCTTACAAAGCTAAACTAGATTAAGATATATATGCATCTGATGTATATGTAGTAATCTAGTTTGTCAAGGACTATAGTCTTCAATATGGACTGAACCTCAACATCAAAAAGAAAAAGATTCTCACCACTGGGCCAGTTGGCAACACCCTCATAGATGGAGAAGAGATTGAGGGTGTTAACAGTTACAGCTTGCTCTGCTCCACAATCAACACTCTTAGCACCAGCAGTCAGGAAATCAAAAGACGAATTGCATTTGGTAAATCTGCTGTCGGGTACTTCTCTAGAGTAATGAAAAGCAATGATGTCGGTCTGGAGACTAAGGTGTGTCTGAAACAAGCCATGTTCTTTGCAATTACTTACTATTCATCAGAGAGCTAGACAATGACAGAAGAAGAATTGATGCCTTTGAGATGAAGTGCTGGATAAGAGGCTTGAACATACCATGGACTGTCAAGAAAACAAATAGGTCTGTGTTGGAGACAGTAAAACCAAGTTTCTCCTTGGAGGCAAGGATTTTGAAATTCTGTCTCCATACTTTGGGCATGTATCAAAGAAAAACAGGTCCTTGGAGAAGGACATCATGCTCAGAAGGGTGGAGGGACAATGCAGGAGAGGAAGACCCTAGATTAGATAGATTGATACAGTCACTAGGGCAATGGGGGTTGGCGTGTCAGAATTAGTGAGACTGCTTCAGGACAGGGCAGTCTTCAGAGCTGCTGTACATAGGGTCACAGGAGACTCATGTACACATAAGAACAGTAACAACAGATATTATATACATACATAAGCAAATCTATAATTTGTTTTATTCAGAAATATAAAAATAAAGATTAATCTCTGTACAGAAAATATTCTGTAGGATATGAGGTATCTTAGAAATATTATGTTTTAGCTGAGAACATGTGGGAAATTTGATAGGCTCTTACATCAAGTAGTAAGTGTTTCCAAATAAACATATTGATACAAAAAAAATGTCAAATTGTATAATAGACTAATAAGCATTTCCAGAAATCCACAGTGATGAAGATTATTTAATATCCAAAGCAAATAAATAAAGTCTGAGGGAAGAGTTGTATGCATGCTTGATGTCATTCCTTTTAAGCTTGCAGTGTATCAACAGACCAATTTGGAAATAATCAAAGACTTTAAAGATAAGCAAATACTTCTTTTTAAATCCGGGTGATAGTATTGTAGGAAATCCAACATAGCACAGTAATGAGTGTTATGAAAGCTTCATTTTAGAATCTAAGTATTTAAACCTCTCTAATGAAAATTAGTGTGAAATATGTAATAAACACTGCCTGTGGTTTTCCCCACCCTCTTCTCAGGGTATATAAAAGGTCCTGTGCAGATGGTTATTGTTAACCCGAGATAGTCTTTCTCTGCTCCTTAACTGAACCTTCCACTCCTGACACCATGTGCTATTACGGCAACTACTACGGGGGCCTGGGCTATGGCTACGGTGGCCTTGGCTACAGGTATGGTGGCCTGGGCTGTGGCTATGGCTGTGGTTATGGTGGCTGTGGATACAACTGCTACCGCCCACTGTGCTGCAGAAGATACTGGTCCTATGGTTTCTACTGAGGAAGATCCAGGGCTGCTCAATCTGAAGACCACACATTGTTACTTTAGAAGAACTATCTTGTTTCCTTACATGTTAACATTCTAACCTATCTTCAAAATTCCCAACTTCTTCTTAAACTATGGGAAAAACTTATGCAATTCTAGTTTCAAAATTATCATTTTTATTGCCTTATATTTGCTTGAAAACTTGTATTATCTTTCTGATCCCATGTATATTTCAAGTTTTATCTTTTATGTTGTAACTATATTTAAATAAATTGTATCTCATCATAAGAACTGTTTTATTGCATTTATACAAATATCCCTAAGTTTTACCTGCAGGTGAGTACATTTGTGTGAATCATGTGATTATTTCGTTTTGGGAATGATTGCACACACACTATGCACAATGAGTAAATTACACTCATGGAAAAAACTCACCTCCAATATGTGCAGATGGATCTGGTTCTCACCTCCTCATTACTCTATCCTCATAATGCACTCACACACATTTTATTTCTGACCCTAGTCACAAAGAAATGAGTTAGAGCTCACATGTTAAAAGAATGATTTCTTCAGACTACCAATATAGACACATCAACAGCAAGTTGGAGAAGTTCACATAAACTTCGATGATCTTCTGACATTAGTGACCTTCTAGGCCACAAAATCAGGAATAGTTTCCCACTATTTCAGTATGTTGGCCAGATTCCTGAAGTTCATGTGAAATCTTATTGACATGCCATTTTCCATTGCCCTTTGGGTTTGGTAATTTGCTAGAATGAAAAGAGAATATACTATACTTTTGACAACAGATTAATTTTAAACAAAAAAGCACAAATAAAGAGATACAAGAGAGTCAGTTCTGAGAGGACACTGAATACTGTGATTCATGTATTCCAGTGATATCATGACAGTGGATATTTTAACCAAATAGGAAGTTGCCGCCAACCAGGAAGCTCATCTGGGGTTCAGAGCACTTGTCAGTTCTCCCAGGTACTCAGGATAAATGACTTCTTATCTCCTGAAACTAGTCAGTATCAGTCCTTCGAATGGTCTTTCTTGTTCTAGGCCACTCTTCATAATTAACTTCATTCATGGTTTGTCTTTCAGGAACTGAGAGAAAGGGTGGAAAAGAAATATTGTCTTTTGTACCTCTCTTTGTGTAAAGATAGAAAATCAGAGAGACAGGAATGAACAAAGACAGAGAGGTCCTTTTGTGGTTATGATGGATATAAAAAATAAAATAGTAAAGCTAAGAAATGTTTTTGTATAATGGAATTTTTAAGGAATAGAAGTTAGACAATCAAAAGGGAAACATGTGCTGAGTATTGCTCAAGCTCAGAGAACTTAAGAACAAATTCAAGCCTTAAGTTGTCACACTGACAAATTCTAAGGGCAAATTATTAAATGATGCAAGAAAATCAAAGGAAGATGGAAAATATATCCAGAGTCACTATGCCACAAAAATTTTCTCAAAACTAAATACTTACAAGAAATATCATGTGATCAAGAACCAATGGTAATTAAGGAAGAAATTTAAGCTGCATTGAAAGCATTGGATAAATACAAGGCCCCAAGAATTGAGGGAAGGCCAATATAGTTAGTTAAAAAAAATAGATATAGCTCTGGACATGCTTACTAGCCTACTTGAGAAATTTGGAAGAGATATACCTACCTGGTCAAACGAAATGAGCCATATTGTCCTCATTAAAAAAAAACAAAAGCTATCCAGTAGAATAAGAAAATTATGGAGCAATATCACAAAGGACACATGCATGTAAAACCTTCAGAAGTGGTTGGAAAAGTACATTGACTTATTGTTATGTGATGTGCAGTCGAGTTGTTTGCAACTCATAGCCACCCTATATACAATAGCCCTACACTCTCCTCTGTCTTACGCCAAATTTTTTGTCTGACACATTTATCCCTGTCATACCAGTGGCTGAAACAATCTACCTCATCGAGGATCTTCCTCTTTTGTGCTGTCCCTCCACCCTGCCAAGCATGATGTCCCTCTCCAAGGACGGGTCCCTCCTTGCAACATGCCCAAAGTACGTCAGACAAAGTTTTAGAATCATTGCCTCCAAGGAACAGCCTGGTATCACCCTACCCAGGATGAACCTATTTGTTCTCCTAACAGTCCATGGTATATTCAATATGCTTCTCTAGCACCACAGCTGAAAGACATCAACTCTCTTATCATATCTAGTCATTATTTTCTGATACATCACAAGTAACTGCAAAACCTATGGCCAGAATCGGCACACCTTATTCTCCAGACTGACACTGTTGCTCTTCAGTACTTTGGAGAGGTCCCTTATAGGAGATTATCCTAGTGCAATTAGTCTTTTAATTTCATGGCTGCTGGTACCAAGAGTGTTGATTGTGGAGCCAAGCAAACTGAAGCTGTTAACAATCTCAATCTCTTCACTTTCTATCATGATATTGCCAATTGGCCCAGTGACGAGAATCTTAGTTTTCTTGGTGTTGAGCTTCGATTCATATTGAAGGCTACAGTCCTTGACCTTCTGCAACAAACGCTTCAGTTCCTCCTCAGTTTCAGCAAGCAGGGTTGTGTCATCTACATAACACAGATTGTTGATGAGTCTTCCTCCAATCCTGATGCTACATTTCTCATAGATCTCAGGCTCCTCGATGATCTGTTCTGCACATACGTTGAAAAGGTATGGAGATAGGACACATCCCTGGCAAACATTCTTCCCAACTTTGAATCATACAGTGTTTCTTTGATTGTTCTGATGACTGAGAACTGGCAAAAATTCAAGTTGAATTTAGAAGAGGTCATGGCACAAGGGATGTCATTGCAGATGTCACATGGATCTTGGCTGAAAGTAGAGGACACTAGTGTGTTTACTTGTTCCTTATGGACTGTAGAAAGGCATTTGACTATAACAAATTACAGACAAGATTGAGAAGAAATTATCATAGTGCTTAATTTTGTGCATGAGAAACATATCAAAATCAAGAAGCAGTTGTCAGAACAGAGCAAGGGGACACAGGATGATGAATACACGAATAAAGTACCTCAAGGTTGTATCCTCTATCCATACCTATTCAAACAGAAAACTAAGCAAACCATTGGAGAAGTTGGACGACATAAAGAAGAATGCCAAATTAGGAGTAGAGCATTACACAGAAGATGCAACCTTACTGACAGAAAGTGAAAAAGACTTGAAGTACTTACTGAAAAAAAATCAAAGACAACAGCCTCCAAATTTGCATATATTGCAATATCAAGAAAACGAAAATTCTCACCACTTGACAAATTATGAAAGACAGAGAAAAAAATTGAAATTGTTACAGATTTCATTTTTTTTGTATATTCACAATCATTGCTTATAGTAGCAGCAGTCAAGAAGCAAAACTTGTTATTTTGGGGAAATTTGCTGTAATAGATCTTTTATGTCAGATTAAATACGAAGATGTGCCTATGCCTATGTGGATATTTTACTTGCTTCCTATGCACCTGAAAATTGGACATGATGGAGATGGTAGAAGAAGAATCAGTGTCTTCAATGATTGTGACATTAATGAGGAATAAGGAATAATGTCCTACAGAATGCTGAAAGAACAAGACTGTCTTGGAGGAAGTGTAGTCATGCTACTCTTTAGAGACAAGCATTGTGAAATGTGATTTCATATACTTTATGCTTGATGTCAAAAGATCAACTCTTAGAAAAAAGACATCATTTTGGGATAGGTGGAGGATCAAAGAAGAAGTGTAAGACTCTTAGCAAAAAAAAAAAGATTCACACATTGATGATAATAGCGATCACAAGCATTTTGGAAATTGTGTAAATGGCTCAGTTTAGGTCAAGTTTAAGCTATTGTTCACTAGGCCCCTATAAATTGTAGTCAACTCAATGGCACATACAATTAAACAGTTATATGTACTTATACACTTATCTATAATTTTTAAATGGCTAGCTATGTCATCAATAGCTGAATTTCATACCAGAATATTAAAAGGTTTTGTATTTGTGTAATTTTAATATTAGCTACAATATCCCTATTACCAAGCCTCTTTTAAACCCAGCCTGCTGCACTTCTGGCAGTTCTGTTGTGCTGTCCCAGTCATTTTTGGAATTTTGCTTGTATGCAATCAATGATATTGTTCAATAATTTCCACACTTTGTTGGATCACCTTTCTTTGGAATGGGAACAAATATCGATTTATTCCAGTCAGTTGGCCAACTGGTTGTCCTCCAGATTTCTTGACACAACTTGGTGAGTACATCTAGGGCAACATCTGTTAGCTGAAATATAGTAATTGGTATACCACCAATTCCTTTTTTTTTAGAGATACATGCAATTTTTTTATATTTACAGACTATATGCTATCTATTTCAACCACTCAATTTTGTGTCTGTAACAAAACCAACTGATGAACATAAAAATGAAAGACCTTAGCTGTTCTTATAAAAGACTTTATTGACAAAATCTTTTATGCACGAGTTTATAGATCCCTAAATTCTATCATAATTCATCAGTTTTTGTTCTCTACATCTTCACTTTCAGTAGGCTTGAAGCTAACAAATAACATGTCTAAATTCAGATTGTTGTTGTTATGTGCCGTTGAGTCGCTTGCGACTCATAGCGACCCTATGTACAACAACTCTAAACTCTGCTCTGTCCTGTGTCAATCTCATAGCCTCCTACACACTCATCCCGATTGCCCAGTCACCGAATCAATCCATCTCCCAGAAGGCCAGCCTTCCCTTCCTGCACCTGCCCTCCACCCTCCCAAGCATAATGTCCCTCTCCAAGGACTGGTCTCTCTTTACAACATGACCAAAGTATGTCAGACGAAGCCTCAGAATCCTTGCCTCCAAGGAGCAGCCTGGTTTGACCATCTCCAGGATGAATCTGTTTGTTCTCTTCAGTCCATGGCACCTTCATCATCAATTCTCCTTCTATCCTCTTTGGTCACTGTCCAGCTCTCTGATGCATAACAAGTGATTGCAAAGACCATGGCCTGTACCAGATGCACCTTTGTCTCCAGAGACACACCACAAACATATATGCAAGAACAAAATTCTAATATTGTATGGCATTCAATTTTGCTGATTATTCCATAGTATGATTGTCTTCTTGGTGTTATGTACCGTTTAGTCAACTACCACTCATAGTAACCCTATGAACAATGACTCTGAACCTTGACCTATCCTGAGTTAAAATATCTCACTGTCTCCAATACACCCACCCTCCTTACCACATTGACTATGTCAAACCACCTAATCCAGGGTCATTATTTTCTGCTCTATCTACCTTTCCAAGCTTGATGCCCTTCTGCAAGGACTAGTCCCTTCTAGGAACATGGACAAAGTATGTGAGATGAAGTTTCAAATTCTTTGCTTCCAGTAACTGCCTTAGATTCATGCCTTAGTGTTCCAGTAAATGTGCATTAGATTGTACGTTGCAGTATTTTCTTTATCTTTTAAAATGCATACATATATTTGTATACCCCCGATAAGATGGACCAATAAAGTAACTAGGACAATGGGGGTTGGTGTGTCGGAATTAGTGATACTGGTTCAGGACAGTGCAGACTTCAGCGCTGGGTCACTATGGGTCACAGGCAACTCAACAGCACATAACAATATATACATACATGTAAATAAGTATTTATACACATGTATGAGTTATTTGTAATGTACATACATTAATAAATGTTGTAGATCTATAAAGTGGTACATATACATGTTGTTGTTGTTGTGTGCCATTGAGTCAATTGCAACTCATAGTGACCCTATGTGCAACAGCCTAAACTCTGCTCCGTCCTGTGCCAATCATACCATCTCCGATACACCCATCCCAATTCCCCCAGTCTCTGAATCAATCCACTTCTAAAGGGCCTCCCTTCCTGTGCTGTCCCACCACCCTCCCAAGCATGATGTCCCTCTCCAAGGACCAGTCCCTCCTTACATGTCCAAAGTATTCAGCATAAAAAGTCAGACTGTAGGACAGCCTTTGGAATGGGTATTCTTAACGTCCTGTGTTTGTATAGAACCAATACACAAAATAAGTAAATATATATTTGTGGGACAGTATTTACCCATGCTTTACATTATTTCATTTAAGCTTACAGTATTTATAAACTGACAAAATTCAGAATGATAGGATTTAAAAATAAATTCCTCTTTTAAATACCACATGACATGGCTGTAGGATACCTGACATATTAACAAAGTAATGTTTGTTATGAAGGCTTCATTGCATTTTATAGTTCAAGGTATTCAGAGTTCTATAGTGAAAATTACTATGAAATATGTCATAAACACTGACTGTGGTTTCCCCTCCCACTTTTCAGGATGTATAAAAGGTCCTGTGCAGATGGTTATATTCAGTCTGAGACATTCTTTCTCTGCTTCGTAACTGAACCTTCCACTCCTGAAACAATGTGCTATTACGGCAACTACTATGGTGGCCTGGGCTATGGCTATGGTGGCCTGGGCTGTGGCTATGGTAGCCTTGGTTATGGCTATGGTGGCCTGGGCTGTGGCTATGGCTGTGGTTATGGTGGCTATAGATATAACTGCTACCACCCACTGTGCTGTGGAAGATACTGGTCCTATGGTTTATACTGAGGAATTTCTGGAGCAGCACAGATTATTGAAGTCCTCCTGTGTTCTTCTTCTCTTCCCAGGATTCTATATACAGAACTTTCTTTCTTTATATTATGGCCAATGTGATGCTGGTCTTGAAGAATGGGGGGGGGATGATAGATGGGAAGGTTAAAATTTGTTTTGTTCAATTTTGGCTGATTAAAATAATTTAAAATATATTATTGTAGGATTTTTTTTCTTTCTACTTTACCTCCATTTGAATTTTATATGCAGTTTAATTCTTTAATATTCATGCTCAGAAAATTTCAACTTAATTTTCAAATTAACATCCAAATTGTCACGATATTTTTTTTTTCATTTCTTTATCTTTAAATCCATTAGTTTTGGGTGTCTTTCTTCACTGAAGTATTACTCTGTTTGCAGTCAGAACATAATCATGTAAAAAATACATAGAAAAGTGTGATTAACATTTTTTGCTAGCAACACTAATGTTGTTGTTGTTGTTAGGTGTCGTCTAGTAGTAGACAACTCATAGCGACCCTACAAGCGAAAGGCCTGAGCACTGTTCATACATAGTTTCCGGAGGTAAGCCATTTCAGAAGCAGATGCCGCTCCTGCTTCCAGACTTGTTTTAGTCGGGAAGCTCCAGCAAACACCGTCCACCATGGGTAACCATTACCACATTTGGCACATCACTGTCACAGGCTTCAGCATCGCAGCAACCATGAGTTACCTCTGTATAGCAACTCACAGACCAGTGCTATACCACCTAGAAGAATGTTTGACAGGAAAATAATTTGAACCCGGTCTGAGGCCCGCAGATTAAAATCACCCACCTTCGGCTTGGTAGCATAACTTTCTGTCCATTGGGCCAATGTAGCTCTCTCGATGTGGTCGTTGATGTTGTTGTTGGGTGCCATAGAGTATAGTAGATGACTCATACTAACCCTATGAACGAAAGGTCTGAGCAATGTTCGTACATCGAGTTTCTGGAGGCAAGCCATTTCAGAAGTGGATGCCGCTCCTGATTCCAGGCTAGCAACACTAACAGAAATTTGTATTTTCTCGTACCTTTAAAAATACTGCCATGATCAACACCTGAATCACACAATAACCTGTTTTCAAAAGCTAAAATTGTAACTAGTAATTCTCTCAATTGCTTGAAACAATAGCAGCCCCAGTCTCTGAAGTTATATTTTGCCATCTCTCTTCGCTGTATCTTGACTCTCTATCAATGAGTTAAACAATGTAGAGATGTACTTCTGGTAAAGATCTAGTTTTACTTCAAATAATTTTTCACTGAAAATTTATTTCTTGTAAGTGAAAATTCCAGGAATAAATCCATTTGATAGCATTACATTCATGAGAATTTTATTTTAACTTAGTGACATAATATTTTAAATAAGACTTTCATTTTAAAATTTCATTAAAAATAAGACAAGCACACATGGCGAGGAAGGTTCGAGAACCCAGGTTTGGAACCACGTCCAGCTGCACAGCGTGTACCCTCCACAGAACGTGGACAGCGGCTTCACACCTCTCCGCCCTCCCTGGCAACCCTTCTGTGGCTCACAGCACTGGCCGCGTCCCCCCAGGCCTGAAGGGGGGCACTGAGAGGCAAGTCTTAGTAGAATGAACCTCAACACTCCAGCAACCCCTGCACGTCCCTGTTTTGCGCATGTGTTAACTGACAGTCCGCCCCCTGGCACTGCATGCTATAGGATGCTAGCTGCCCCCGTCCCAGGCACCCCCTGTCTCCCTCCATCCCCAGACCCGGTTCTGCACCTTTCTCCACTTCCTCCCATTCTTGTTTTAGGACACCCCCTGCCCACCCAGCCCTTTCCCCTCCCCCACAGAAGAGGGGACGGAGGACAGCAAGCTTAGTGGGGACCTGCGGGGTGGGGATGGGTGACCCAGACTTCCCCTCTTCCCCTTCCCAAATAAAGATGTTGTTGTTGTTAAGTGCCATCGAGTCGCAGGCGACTCAGTGACCCTATGAAGGAGAGTCCTCGACACTTGGGTGCCTTTCATCCTCTCTCCAGGTTCATAGGGTTTCTGGAGGCAAGCTGTTATGGAAGTGGACGCCACTCCTCCTTCCAAGCTTTTTTTAATTGGGGAGCTCCACCCCACTCTCTGTCCACATGGGGTAGCCAACCATTAGCGCATTTGACACATCAGTGTCACAGTGTTCAACCTCACAGCAACCAAAAGTGACCGCGGTAAGGCAACTTGTACACCAGGGCTACACGACCTAGAGGAATGTCTGAACAAAAACAATGAAAGACAGGTCTGAGGGCAGTGGAGTCACCCACCTTCGGCTTGGCCGGCTGATCTCTCTCTCTCTCAAATTAAGATGAGGGTACTAAAACAAAAACAAGAACAAAAACAAAACACCCAAAACCAAGCATTGCTCTCATGCAGAGAATAATAGTTGTGCCAGTGACATAATAGTTTCTTCACTTTAATGTTACTGGCTAATAAAATATTTGTCAAAAATTTTTGTGTATAAAGTTATGTTATTTTAAAATATGTCCAATAAATATAACATGAAACAGTCTTTAAATAATATAACAAGCCATTATCTTAGTCTCAGCAATATATGAAAATTAATCCATTTCCCCTAGAAATGCTTATGACTTATGTAATCATCCCATAAAATCAACATGCCCTCAAACAACACAAGGATTGTTGTTAGGTGGTGTTGAATCAGGTACAACTGATAGTTACACTGAGGCATAGATGATAAAGCTTCATCTCATATTTTGTGGTCATGTTGCTAGGAAAGAGACATAAAGATGGTAAAGCTTCACCTATAATACTTTGGGCATGGTCCCTGAAGAGGAACATCATGATTGGAAAGGTAGGGTTATGAAAGAGAGGAAGATCCTCAACCGGATGGATTGACATAATGATCAGAACAAGAAAGTGGCACAGGATAGGACAGGGCTCAAATCTGTTGTTCATAGGGTTGCTATGAGTCTTACTTAACTATATGATCCCTAACAACAAACAAATGACATCCTCATGATAGATGGAGAAAAGATTGACATTGCGAATAACTTCATTTTATACGGATCTACACCCCAACATCTATGGTAACAGCAATTAAGAAACCAAAAGAAGTGATACCATTGCCAGTGCCTTAACTGCAGCTTTAACTTCTTTCTTCATTCCTATTAGTGATTGATCATACGGTACTTCTTGAAATATTTTAGTGTAAGTCAATTCTTTTTAGTACTGTGATTCTGTATATTCCTTCTGCCTCCTTTTGATGTTTTCAAGATTGCAAATCTTATTTGCAATGTATGGAATAGTCAATTAATACCTCATATTGTACAGTATATTGTACAGTATATAGAAAATTATAAAGATCTTTGTAAATATTGTGTTGTTGTTATTGTTGTTGCTGTTAAATGTCATCAAGTCATAGATGACTCATAGTAACCCTATGAATGAAAGACCTGAACACTTGTATAACTTCCATCATTTCTTCAAATTCTTAGTTTCTGGAGGTATGCTACTTCAAAAATGGATGCCACACCTGGTTCCAAGCTTATTTTAATCTGGGATCCCCACCAAACACTGTCCACCATGGGTAACCATTACCACATTGTACATATTAAATGACTAAAATTATGACTAAATTAATAATTTGTAAGCAGGAGTGGTATCCACTTCCTAAACAACATGCCTTTGAAAATTCTACGAACTTTAATAAATGTCAATAGTTATAGAAAGACTTCAGGCCTTTTGTTTATAGGATCACTATGAGTAGTGCTCAACTTGATGACAGTCAACAACATATGAAATGATAATAGATTTATATTTTTATTAAATATATTGTAACATATCACTTCTACACCATTTAAGAAGATGTTCAATATGTAGCAGATTTGGCCAATAAGAAACTCTTGAACCTGGTGTCTTTTTAATATATCCTTTATAGTCTAGTCCTTTTTTAGGACATCCTTTAGCACAAACAGAAAGTCGATTTTCAATTGATTTCTCTTATTGTAGGAAACATAAAAATTGTAACCTAGGCAGCATTAGGTATGAATACTGTAACTATTTTTTGTTTTTAATAAAAATGGAATGCTTCCCACATTCACACATTGATGCCACATTCTATTTCATATACTCCAGCTTCTGAGATGATTTGTTCAGCAGGAAGACTGAATAGGGAAGGAGAAAGGATACATCCCTGACATACATCTTTCCTGATTTTAAACCCTTTCTTTGACAACAGCTTCTTGTTCTAGGCAGAGGTTTCATATGAACAAAATTAGGTGTTCTGGGATTCACATTCTTCTCAATGACAATCATAATTTATTATTATCCCCATAGTCAAACACCTTTGCATACTCAAAATGCACGAATAGACATTCATCTAGTATTCTCTGTTTTCATCCAGGAACCATCTGACAACAGCAGTAATATCCTGATACCATAGCCTGGTTTTAATTCAGCTTGACCTTCTGGAAGTTCACTGTCAATGTATTGTTTTAGCCATTTCCAGCAATATTTCGTTTGCATCTGATATTAATGATATTGTTCTATAAATTGCACATTTTGTTGGATCACCTTTCTAGGTAGTGGAACAAATACCAGACAGTTGCCCAAGTAGCTAGTCTCCAAATGTCCTGGCATCAACTAATGAGCATGGACAGGCCTGCATCTGCTAGTAAAAATATGCCAATTGGTATCATATCAACTTGTGGGGCCTTAGTTATTGCCAGTGCCTTCAGGCAGCTTGAATTTATTCCTTAATTAATATTGGCCCTGCTCATATGGTACTTTCTGAAATTTTTCATTGTCAACCAATTATTTTTGTGACAGTAACTCTGTGTATTTCTTCTATCTTTGTATGATGCCTCCTGGATCATTCAAGATTTTGCCCATAGCATCTAGCAGTATTGCAACTAAAAGCTTGAATTTGCTTTTCTGTTTTTCAAGTTGAGAAATGGAGCAAGTTCTTCCCTTTTTATTCTCCTACTCCAGTTCTTTCCACATTCTGTTACAGT